GCAATGATTACCTTTCAATTCCCTGCCTCCAGAACCTCGCCTAGGTTCCGGCTGAGCTCCCGCAATCGGTGGGTGGACTCCCCACAGAGTCTTGATGCGATCCTAAGGGTTGCAATCCCGCCTGCCGCCTTCCTCTCGTAACCAACAGACTAAACTTAGAGTGAGAAGGGCAAAAAGAGATAGGTTTGAGACTCTCATATCCAAGGGAGGTGCACTTAGACTTGTGTGAGAGGGCCTTGGTTCCTTGATGCGCCTGAAGGCCCCGCAATGATGGCCAGTACCCGCTGCAGCCTGATCAACTGAAGTCAAACTATCCCTGCTGACTTTCTGACGCCCCCCCCCCTCCTTCGGTTCGTAGTAATACACTCCCTTCACAACCTCTGATCACTCTTCTTACACCATACCTTCTTCTCATCCGTTGGAATTGCAGCCACGCGGCCCTAAACAGCGACACTCAAACAGCGTACACCTCACGTGCTCAATTTCGTCGTATAGAGGTACACGGCGAACTGCGCAGTGAAGCGCAGGGGAAATACAACAAACACCGTAATGCAGCGGACATACGACAATACGCACAGTCGTACCAGGCAGCAGCACAACAACCCGCAGTAAAACACAACAACGTCCTATCCCAGCAATGCGCAGGAGCCTTGGCAATCGTGGCATGTACCACCAGGCATGGTATTGGCCGTAGCGAACCAACTGTGTCTAATCGCCCGATGGCCACAACAAACCTTTAAGCTCGGCCATACACCTTCGTTCCGAGCTTATGTGAGCCGTAGTCAACTTCCACAAAGCGGCTCACCTTCAACGGTCAGGTAAAGTGCTCTCTATGCCTCCCGCTTTCTCCCTTCCGCTTGGCGCTCAGTGCACAGACTACTACCACACAACCACTGACAGTAGCTGGCTGTTGGTCATACACCCCGCCAGCGTCAGCAGCAACTACCTCAGTGCATGAAGTTGTCGACCCCGTACATCACAGCCAAGACCAGGTATGTGCCTCGCATCATCACTCTCCCCTCGCCCTTTTCTCTTTCCCTGCGAGCGACACTCAATTCCAGCCCAGTTGCTTGCTGCCTCCCTCTCAAGCTCAACCAACGCCCACTGTAATGCACCTAGCTACTATGAAACGGCCAGGTTCAATAGACTAGCCGTAGCTGGTTGTTTGGCGTTAGCTATGCCGGTATAACCGATATGAGGTTGGTGGCAATGCGCTCATCAAAGTCCCCCCCTTTTTTTAACAATCAGCACCTTTAGTTCAGGTAAGCCCCCCAGTCTTCGATGCACCCACGCTTATCCGCCCCTTTCCTACCGATAGGACGAGCAAAATCAGCATGGATCTTCCGCTAAAGTACGGGCAGGTGCATTCACACTGCCAAGTTGTTTCTACCTTGCGCGGCTCACATCCACCACACTACCAAACCCCCTCTCTCACTTCTCGATCCGACCTCCTCATCAGGTTCGTCAACCTTCAAAACCCCGGTTTAGGCTCCTCCCTTCCTCAAATCCGTAAAGAAACGAGTAAGACGATCGTTTCTTCCCCTGATCGAATCCGCTTCCGCCATAGCCCCGACGCACCTTCCTTTCCTCGTAGCTTCCATCACAATCTTCCTCGCGGCGATCCAACCTCGGATCCGGGGTCGCCCGCCCCCAAAACCCCCGGATCACCTCTCCTTCTCCTCAGAACCTCCCTCTATCAACAGTGTTCCGCTCCCTCTGCTGCGCCCGAGTTCGTAGTCGCCATCTCCCCTTCGTTTCAGCTGAACCTGGCAAGGCCTACGTCCAGGTTCATCCGCCCTTTTCCTCTCCCTCTCCGCTTTACCTCTTTCGGGTCCTATTCGGTCGCCAGCTTCGATTCTCGGCACAACGCGTCCTGAACTCTCCCCCCTCTCAATGTTTGTTGTCTCAGTTCTCTCTCTTCCACTCTTACTAACTACACTCGGCTCCCCTGCTCGTGTCGTCGTCACCTTGGCCCTTCGACACTGCGCGGTCCGACAACATTCAACTCCCGAAGAAGGAAAAAGCGTTTGGCTGTCGGACCTGCCCCCAATTTATGCGCATCACCCGGGTGTAATGACCAAGCTAATCCTCTCGGTATCGTTCCAAGTTTAGCGGATGTCCCGACGGACTTACCCGGGGCAGTGCCTCACGGCCCTCTCGGAGCCTGAGCGGCCCTAGGCAGCTCAGAGCATCCGTCTTTACTTATCAAGTTCCATCCTTCGGGCCTGAACGCGGCCTATACCACGACAGCCCATGGGTGTCCCCACCGAGTTAGGCTTTGGGTCAGCGGCCGGTCCCGGCACCGGTACCGGACTCTCCAAAAAAATGAGACCGATGGGTAGGGGAGGAAACCCACCGGTACTTCCTCGGTCCTGCCAGGCGGCCCGCGACCGGAGGCCCCAGCAAAAACTGAGGGGGATAGTCCCACGGGACCCTCAACCCTTCAGCTTCCTTTTCAAAGCTCCACCGCTCTTGCGCTGTCGCCCGCTGGCCTCGATCCTTGCACCTCCGTATCATAAGTCCAATGCCATAACCTATAGGGCTAAGCCCAAGCCAAAGACCAGCGCGCACAGGCTCCTATATAAAACGGTGCCGCACGGCGCTCGGGGCCAAGAAGGTGGCCTGGGCCTCATCTCCGCCTACAACCAAGCGTGCGGCCGTTAAACACCCTCGCCGGCTTACTCCAACTACGCCACGGCGGCCACGCGCGCCCTCCTGCATGCCAAACCTACCGCTGGTCAGCGTGCAGGACAAATCCCAAGCCTTTTTAATCCCCCGTCTAGTCAGCAATAAAAGTCAAGCCATTTGGCTATGCGGCTTCACAATCAAAATACAAAAGAAAGAATCACACGCGCGCCTTAAAACTGCACGCCCATTCACTCTTCTTAGCCGAACAATCCTCAGTCTGCGTGCGGACAACCACCGCATTCCGCGCCGATACTCCAAATTTTCCAATTTAATCAAACTTTCTGTTACTTGTAAAAAAACAGGGCGGATACCCTTGTCAGGGTATTCGGGCCGACAGTGGATGGCCTCGATCTTGTCCGCAAGCGGACGGATGCCTTGCGGCGTCACATAATAGCCCAAGTACTCAAGCTCTTGCCGCGCGAATTCGCATTTGTCGCGGTTTAGCTTTGTACTTGGCTTGTCGTAGTCGTTCCAACACGGTGCGCAGATGCTCCACATGCTCGTCCAAACTTCGGCTGTACACCAAGATATCGTCGAGGTAGACGAGTACAAATCTGTCCAGCATGTGTCGGAACCCCGTCGTCATAGCCGCTTGGAAAGTGGCCGGGGCATTCGTAAGGCCAAATGGCATGATCAGCCATTCGAAATGCCCATATCGCGTCTTGAACGCGGTTTTGTAGCGGTCTTCCTGCCGAATCTCAAGTTGGTGATATCCCGATTTGAGGTCATGCTTGGAGAAGCACTTAGCGCCGCCCAACCGTTCGAGAAGGTCGTCGATGCGCGGGAGAGGGCCGGCGTTCTTGACGGTTTGCTCGTTGAGCTTGTGATAATCGATGCACAACCGCAAATCCTTGTTCTTCTACCGGATAAAGAGAACGGAAGCATCGTATGGCGAAGAGCTAGGCCGAATCCAGCCTTTCTCGAGAAGGTCCTCAAGTTGTCCCCGTAGCACACTTAACAATTCCTCGCTCATGCGGTAGATGCAACCACGCGGAGGTACGGCCCCGGCCTCGAGGGATGATCTCGTGGCGGATGGGCCGATCCGGTACTACTCCATGCGGGGCTTTGAACACGTCGCCGTAGGCGTCGAGAAGCTCGGTGATGCGTGGGTCCGGTGATGAGTCCGTCGATGAAATGTCACGAGGAGGGAGGGCGTGGAGAAAACACCCCCCCATCTCCTCGATGTCATCCCTGGTGATGGAAGCTCGAATGCTTGCGGCGGACACCACGTGGCAGCTGATCGAAGGGTGAGGAGGAGGCACCGTGCATGAGACGAGTACTCCGTTCCGATCACGAACGTGAATGGTGCGGCGGTAAGTTCACCGGGTGATCCTCGCTTCACCGCCATGACATGCCCAAGATCATGTCGAACTGAGTGTCCAAAATGTCGAAGGACATGGCCTCGCTGGCATGCGGGGCAAAGTACACAAGGACGGAATCAACGCACCGGTCGATTGACCTGTGCGTTTGACCGCCGGCCAACGTGACTTGCGTGGGCTGCGACTTCCTCCGAACTCGTGGCCCAAGGTCAGCGCGTACCATAAACTCTTGGCTGATGTAGTTGTGAGTAGCTCCGCAATCGATCAAAGCGTTGCAGGTCGCCTCTCCGATCTGAATGCGTATGTACAACAATGGCGCGTCGATGTCGTCGTACCATTGTGTCTTGAACTCGCGGTCGATCTTCGCAACGTGTGAAGGTCAACAACCTCTACTCCGGCGCCCATCAACGGAGCTGGTACTGCAGTGTCCAAGTAATCCCACAATTGTGCCATTAGCACGTTGCAATGCGGTTTCGGCAATCGACCGGTCGGGGGCAGGGACATCCATTGGAAGTCCGCGAACGTCAATGGATCGAGCTCTTCAAGTCTTGACCATGACGTCGAATCCCCGACGAAATTTGGCGGCGAAGCTGCCGAATCGGTTGCCGATGGTGGTGAAACCGTGCATGCGGTGGATTGTTGCATGTGGAGTGGCGGGTCCAACGGTGGGACCAAGTGGACAGCGTAATCCTCGTAAGTGAACCGAGGACTCGCGATATCCGCATTCTCCCCAGATGTGTAGGAGGTCGCTAGCAAGGCGGCCGAATCTGGCGGAGTGAGAGGTGGAGTCGCTTCACCTCCCGTGCAACTCAGTTTCCCGAGTTGATGCGAGGTCGAACATCCTCCTTGCCTTGATCCGGGCATTGGGAGGTCTTGTGCTTGGTGTTGTTGCACCAATAGCAACAGCCATACCGGCTGTGGCACTTGTATTCTGCCTCGGTCAAGTGAAACTTGACCCATGGTATTGGCTGTCCATTTCCTGCCGACGATGCTGTTTTCGTCTTCCCTTTGTTACGGGAGTTGTTGTTGTTTCGCGGATGGACGGCGGCCACCTGATCTCCCTCACGTGATGCTTGGGTGGCTGTCGGGTCTTCCACAATGTTGTCCGGTTGGACTGCAGCGACATGTGCGGACGCGGACCAAATTTTCCCTTCTCCACATAGGCTGGCTGCCACGCTGACTTCTTGTGTGCAGCAGCCCGGTTGGTCTTGATGATCTCTCATGCCTTGTCGATGATTTCGGCAAAGGTCGTGTACTGCTCGCGATCACCAAGTGCGAGACTCAAGGCGGCACACGACCGATTGTAGACGTCTCGGCGCAGATGTAAAAATGGCAACTGGAGATCGGGCGTTGCCACGATCTTTTGCCATTCCGTGAGCCAATCGCGTGTCCGTGTGTTGCCTTGGGTCATGGTGAAGAGGCGGTTGATGGCGAGCGCCGGGGCATCGTCAACGATGAACCGCTTCTTCCATTCTCTCGTCAGATCTTCCCGGGAGATCTTCTTGTATAGATGGTTGACCTGGATGCCGTAGATGGTTGCCATGTGGCTGGGCCAGATTTGGCATCCGCCCTTGACGTTGAGGAACAACGCCGAGATGAACAAGTGTCCGGGGACCTCGTGAATCCCAAGCTCGGTTGTAAAACCGTCCCACCAGACGACTGGGTCCTGATGTGTATAGTCGTCAAACTTCTCGATCCGGAACGTCGGCATCTTGTAGTCCTTTGATGCATTGGTGCTGTGATCATTGTCGGGCGGCTGGTGCAGCTGCCTGAGTTCGGTCTGCAAGGTGCCGAGCTGCTCGCTGATGGTGGCTGGTGTGGCGAAGGTGCTGATGTCGCCGAGCATTGCGACTACATGGTCAACTCGTTCCTCCAATTGGCGGGTTGAGGGTGCACTGCTGGACTCGCCAACATCTGGTCTTGGTGCGGCCTGCTCCAAGTCCTGTACACGGGAAAGAAGTGCCCGTGTAGCATCCTCGTGGTTCTGCATTGCCCGTAGGAGACTCACCAATTCCTGGTGCTGTTTCTCTAACTTGGACTGTTGGTGGTTACAAGTGTAAACCAACCGTGTCACGAGTCTGGAGACAAACTCCTTCTGCTGCTCTTCCGGTGTTGCGTTGCCGTGGCCGGCGGATGGTTCAAAATGCCAGAACTTGAGCTCGTCGATGCTGGTGGCTTCGTGCCGCTGCAGCAGCTCTTGGGCCTCCTTGCAGAGGGCCTGGGCATCTGCTTCTGCTTCGGCCTGAAGCCGCTGCTTTTCAGCAGCTGCTGCCGCTTCACCCTGTAGGCGGGCAGCCTCGGCTGCCGCCTGGCGCTGTATCTCAGCCTCAATTGCTGCCAGCTGAGCTAGAACCCGCTGATGATACTCGTCAATGGACTCGTTGGCCAGTTGGCCCAGCATGCCCAAAGCTAGAACCGTCATGGTGGCGAGGCACTGTTGGTACTGCTGATGTGGCACTGTGACGTGGCACTTACCAAACCAGGAATGCTGGCAAACGAAGAAGAGGATCTTTTTTTTTTTTTTGAGTTAAGGCCCTTTTTGCAAGACCTCTATCCTGGTGGTGGTAAGAGAACCACCGGGATTGAGGCTTTGCCTAGCGGGCCGCTCCATCTATTGGTGGGGAGCAACACCTGCTGGAAACCGGGTCCAGCGTCCCATAAATACATCTTGCTGCACAGTACCATAAGGAGAGTGGCGCCCAGGTGCTGGAAACCGGGTCCAGCGTCCCATATCCCTTCTATTCTTTCACACCTAGCCTGCAGCAGGGTCGGGTGTTTGGGGGGGGGACCACCGGGGGGCACCAGTGGAGTCTCCCTCCATCCCCTAGCCTCTGCTATCCACCAGCTATCCTTTTGGCGCCCATTGTACTTGACCATAGTCTGTGTTTCAAGGCCGAGGCTCCAGACAACAGGCTGTAATAATATCTGCCAAAATCGGCCAAAGTCAGCCAGGGTCACTACAGAAGAATACTGAAGAAAACCTTTTCTATACCGTACCTGACCAAGAGTGACGTCAACGTGCTGGAAACCGGGTCCAGCGTCCCACCTCCCTCTACTCTTCAGCTGACAGACTGTTGGAGACTATTAGGAGGGGGGAAGAATGAAAGAATTATGCAGGCAGCAGGATTTCTGCTAAGGAGAGTGGGTGGGGGGGGAAGGGGTCTGCAAAGTCCTGAGCTGCTCGTAATGCTTCTCCCGGGTCTACACTGGTCCATTCATGGAAAACCAGCCAATAATCTCTTTCTATTTCTAACCCGGGTTCCTCCTGTGGCCCCTTCTCAGGCTGATCACTTCTGGACCATTTGACCTCGGCCACCCATCCCCCCCTTTCCTTTCCCAGCCATTTCTTACCAAAGCAAGAAATAGCATTGTTTATGTCCCCCCAGTTGTGCATTTGGTCAAGCTTGTCTTTAACAGCCTTCCATTGGGTCGCAATTTCATGTTGGAATAATGTCCTGATTTGTTCCATAACTTCTCCATCGTCCACCCGCGCTCCTTCTATCTCGAGGATACATCTCTTCCACCATATAGTCCATAGGACGCTCCTTCTTCCCAGGTTGAACATATTCTCCTCAAAGATATTCTCCCGAATTTGCGGGTAGTACCCCAGGAGCATAGCCCTCCAATCCCATGGCCATTCCGCACCGGGAACAATATGCCGCCAGATACTATCCCAGGTTCTCCACAAAAGTACTGACGCCGGGCACTGCAGAAAGATGTGTTCAATAGTTTCAGCCCGCCTCTTCCCAGGGTAGATCTGGAGGCATTTACGACACCATGGCAGCGCCTTCCCTTGTTGTTCAAGCCGGGTGTGGTCAATTAGCCAGTCGTTAGTAGGTAAACATTTGTGTTCTATTTGCCATTGGAGGGCCGAGATTTTAGCCGGTCTGCAGCTATACTGTGCAAACCATCGAATAGGCCTGAGCAGGCTGTGATCAATATTGAGATGTCGGTAGCATCTGTCTTCCACACTCTCTCGCAGCCCCCTCTTGGGTCTTAGCATACGCTAGGCTGATTTAGATTTTAGGTTGTGTAGTGAAAGTGTGACAGCCCCCCCTTTTCCAGGCCTGGTACCTCAGCCCCCCCTTTTCTTTTTTTTTTGTATATCTGTCGATCTGCTATGAGTGAGGCATTTCAGAGGACTATGAGCGAGATCTAGGCAAGGTTCTGCAAAGTTTCGGCTTTCAAAAAAAATTGCGATCTTGAAGAAAAAAAATTGCGAGATAGATTGGAGATTCGATTTTCAGAAAAGAATAAATCCAGTTTCCGAGAATATGACAACCTCTACCGTCAACCTAATATGCCCAGAAAATGAAATGCTAAAATCAGAAATTTCCTGATATTTGTCGCAAAAAAAAAAACAATTTAAAAATGAAAAACGAGATACTAATATCAGAAATTTTCGGATATTTGTTGCTAGAGAAAAAAATTCCGAGAAGAGATAATTTTTGTTTTTTTGCAGAGATTTAATGTGGTCCTACTTGATTCAGTCAATCAAACAATCATCAGACTATCAATCAATCAATAACTCAAGCAGGCTCCTTGATTGGGCAGATCCTCTGATTGAGAGGTCTGCTCCGATACCAAACTGTTGCATACCGTAACGGTACAGACCAGAACAAGAACCGAACTCTCTCACATAGTACACGATAGCGCAGCGGAAGGCTAATATACCAATGATCCGAACAATCAATGTTGCAATGCAGACCAAACATACGTCATCATCATTCCATGGTGTGAAGGGGCCTGGCGCTCACACAAGAAGAATACTCCAGTCCCCAACCATACACAGACGAAGACGAGGGGGTTAGACGAAGAAGAGGGGAAGATGGGAATGTCGTCAACACCAAGTCTTCGGTACAGGTCCCAAATAATCCCTCGTCCAATGTCTCAATTCCAATGTGGAGTCTGGATGCAATTGTCGTAAAGTCCCAAAGTCACCAATCTCTCTCTCTCTCTCGTAGTCTGCAGATACTGAGAAGTTAGGTAGCGAGAGGGTGAGGGAGAGATGGTGCACTTAGAAGAGGAAAAAGAACTCTCTCTCTCTCTCTCTCTCTCTCTCTCTCTCTCTCTCTCTCTCTCTCTCTCTCTCTCTCTCTCTCTCTCTCTCTNCTCTCTCTCTCTCTCTCTCTCTCTCTCTCTCTCTCTCTCTCTCTCTCTCTCTCTCTCTCTCTCTCTCTCTCTCTCAGTCCAGTACTAACCTGTGAAGGAGGCGCCTTGTTGCAGGTACGCTGAAGACGAAGCTGGAGTTGCAGGTACATCGAAGACGAAGCTGGAGCTATGGCGCCACAGGTAAGTCTTCCTGGCCTCCGCAAACCATCTCTCTCTCTCCAACGCTACTCTAGCTCCTAATAGCGCCCAGCGCTGAAGACTACTGCTAACGCTACTGCTACCACTGCAGCGCTGCTCCAGAGTGCTGCTGCCGAATCCTGAAGACTGCCTTCTGCCTCCTGCACGTGAAGTGCCTGGGAAGTCCCTATGAACTACCTCGTGACTACCTGCAGCCTGCAGGGCGGGTCAGTCTTATATAGTGCTGGCCCGTCCAGCAGGCTGCTCTTGCCGATGCCAAAACGTGCCAGGCCCTGGTGTTGAAGTTCAAATAAAGGTTGTCTTGAAAACAGGCCCAAAATGGTCTGTGCTAAAACCCTGGTCTGGTGCCTAAGTTTCAGGGCAGGTCGATCTTATGAGGGTCTGAAAATGGCCCTCCGTTTCAGGCTGAAAAGACTCAGGGCCTGGAGGGCCCTTTTTAGAGTGAAACGACGCAGGGCCTGTAGGCCCTTGTTTTCAGGCTTTTAGGCTGAAACGACACAGGGCCTGTAGGCCCTTATTTTCAGGCTTTCAGGCTGAAACGACACAGGGCCTGTAGGCCTTTGTTTTCAGGCTTTTAGGCTGAGAACGCTGGTCGGGCCCTGCAGGCCCGTGTGGCTGCGCAGTATGGCACACCCAATGACCACCCACTCTTTCATCTACTCTGTCATGCCGCAGAGTACAATGCCGCTTTCATGTACCTCACCGGAGCCGTTCTCAACATCCACCAGGTAAGTACCTCACCACTCTTCACTTGTCCATCGTCTTCCTATTCCCCCATGGATTTACCCTTTCAGTGCCACCTTCTTATCTCCCTCAGCACCCATCCTGGCTATGGCGCTGGTCTTCTCCCTCAGCACCCATCCTGGCTATGGCGCCGGTCTTCTTCCTCAGCCATGGCTGCCACAGGTCCGATACCGGATCCTGCCCCTCCCTGGCTAGCGCTGGGCAACATAATGGCCAATCAGCCTGGCCACATCCCTCTCTCACCACCCATATATGGCTGGTCCTGACCTTTTGTTTGATTCATGCTTATCAACAACAGCTAGGCAATGTGCAGAACCAAGGAATCGCCAAAGCGAAGAGAAACACATAGAATGAATGCAGCGGAAGTCTCAAAGTAATCAATCTGACTCATATGACTCGGACTCGGACAATGGACTCGCCACAATCACAAAAAGAGGAGGACGGAATGTGTGCGGGGATGAGACAGATCATTGAGAATAGAACAGTCGAATTGATAATAGCGCCAGTGCACATGATGCCCAATCACCTTGGTGGCACCTTCTCTCACAGCCCAGATATGGGCGGATGCACACCTATCAAGGCAATGTCTGTCAGCTTTGACAGCCGCCTCTTTTCTTATTTCCAATGCCACCACCCAGTCAGTCTCATATCCATGAGACCTTGGATTCATCTAGACAGTCAGCGGAGAGTGATGTTGCAGGCTTTCGCGTGTTCCCTGACAGAGATATGGACACGGTCTGTCCGACCAATTGAGCATTAGACTGGAGTCTAAGCCATGTTGATTGTTTGACACCATGGCCGCCAAGATCACAGATCGCAGGGCCAGAACTCCAAACTCAACCAGTACCATAGACCCACGGCCAAGGAGAATTGTAGTATTCCGTAGATATTAGATAATGTTATGACCCTGGCCAATTTCGAGATACACATCCACCGGAAAGTACAATGCCATCCAATTGCAGAAAGAAATGAATGAACTTGAGAGGAGAGAGAGAGGATTAGGAGAAGAAGAAGAAGTAAGAAAGAAGAAGAAGATGTACACCAGCAAAGACAATGACAAGGCTCTTCTTCTTTGCCCAACAATCTCTTCCTCCTTATCTCCCCCTTCTCTTATTCATACAAGAAATAATAATACAATGTTGAATGACTGATCCAGAATCAATGTCCGAGTCCTCTTCTACTGCAGGTATCACTTAAGGTCCACCATAGCCATGGCCACCTCTCTCACTCTTCACTCTCATAGGCTGAGGCTATGGCGGACTACTGGGCTCTGCTCAGATGCCCAAAGGACAACCCAAAGCATATGGCTTCTCAGGCCGCCATGCCCGACCCTGCCCCGAAGCTTCTTGGTGTAGCTCTCCCCAGCTGGGGACTCCCTGCTGCAGCGCCCACCAAGGTGATGAAGATGGCTGCCACCATAGCCAGGTAAGTACCCCTGGCGCTCCTCCCCCTTCCTTCCTTCTTCCTCCTACTTCCTCCCTCGTGTCCTTCTCCTTCCTCCCCAGCAGCGCTGCTCCAGCCAGCGCTCCACCCGTGTGTCGCCAAACTTGCACACCGAAAAAGAGGCCGGACTCTCCACCCGGCCAGAAGATATAGCGGCCTGCTTTGCCTCTTGGGCGGTGACTTCCAGGCCGCTCGGCCTCCCATGCAACCGGTACCTCCTCCCTTTCGGAGGGAAACATCATTGCAGACTCTGATATTGCCCGTACAGGCGCTAGACCCAGACTGGTTGGACTGATATCCGCCTAGACCTAACCTACAACTACTGGGCCCCTAAAAATACCACTTTTGTATTCTTCTGCTCGGCCTCCGGTACCTGCACATCTACCCCTTCCAGGTGTGGTACCGGCCTACCCGCTACTTGAGTGTTTTTCCCCCCTGCAACCCCTCAATGTCACGGCCACAGGTAAGTACCGGCCCTGAKGGCCCAACGAACGAGCAAGTGCCCTGACGGGCCACACACATACTCATGCCAACCAGCACTCAGACAGGCACGGTCACACACACACCCAAGCCAACCAACACTCAGACAGGCATGGTCACACACACACTCAAGCCATCCAGCACTCAGACAGACATGNAGACAGGCACGGTCACACACACACCCAAGCCAACCAACACTCAGACAGGCATGGTCACACACACACTCAAGCCATCCAGCACTCAGACAGACATGCAGTCCAGCAAGCATGCACACACAGACTTAGTAGCAAGCGGGAAACTCAGCAGGGCATTCAGTCTATGGGCAAAACTCAGAAATCAGTTGTGTTTCAGTCCATGTACGGACGGGTCATCACAATAATCAATAAATCATGAAATATTTGAAAAGATGGGCGGTGGGAGGATAAGGATCATTCAAAGACAGTCTGAGGAAGATTGAGTGCTTTGAACAAAAGCCATGGCCGAGTGTTGGAAAGGAAACAACAGGGGATTATAAGCTCTCATGACAAAGGATAGACGAGGACTAGTGGAGGTACGGTAGGAGCAGCCACATTGGTAATAAGAGTTCCTTGTGGTGGGGAGGGAGGAGGGAAAGGGTGGGGGGTGTAGGGAGTGTTTCCTACAGACTAGCTTTTCTGGTTAAAGGTGTTGAGAGGGAAGTACTACCAAAATGATGGAGCGGAGGAGGAGTTGGCGTTCTTTGCAAAGAGTGAGAGCAGGGACTGGCAATTTGTCTTAGTGGTAAGGTTATGATGGTAGGGTTGGTTTGGTTTTAGGGCAGGTCTCCAGGTTATATTGTGGCAAGTTAGCAGCGGAGAGTGGGATACCATTTCTCCAGTCAGATTTGGAAATGATAGGAAAAATAGGTGGGGTTTAGCAGGGTCTTGTTTCCTTTTTTGGGTAAATTTTGAAAAAGACAAACGAGAAAGCTGGTTTCTGTTCTTTGGGACATCCTTTAAAATTGAAACGATACAGAGAAGATTAGCATGGCCCCTGAGCAAGAAAAGGAAAAAATATTAAAATATTAAAAAAAAAAAAAAAAAAAAACAGCTCTCCAAATTCCAATCGTACATGTGCTAATTATGTCTGGAGAATGGGAAGCACCCCTTAGCATCGTGGATTTGAATGTTGTTTCCGAGGGACGCTGGGCCCAGCTCCCAGCTAGTGTGACCAGTGACAAGAAGGCTGGGAAGTTCATGATTTGACATTCTTGGTTACAGGATGCTGGACCCAGTCTTCAGCAAGTTACCATTTAACGGGATCATGGTCCCCGTACATGTTCCAGTTTGACTGTCAGGACCCCGGCTTGAAAGAGCTCTCTTTTTTGCTCTGCTTACCAAAGGCTGCACTGGACAATTCCACTCACATTTTCACCAAGGTTAAGGGACATTAGGAGAGAAACTGTCCTTTGGTGGAAGTTTGGCCAGTAAATGCTGAGTTCCTTTAATGACCAATGGGATGGAAGGGCAAAGGAAATACTCGATATTTATCAAAAGCAAGATTCTCCATGTATACAGACCATCGTGTTTGCAAAGCACTACTGCACAAAGAAGATAAGGGTGTGACACTTTTGCCAGACGTTCACCAATTGAGGTGTGTGCGGGTCTTTTAATGTGTTCTTGTGTGTGTGAAGACTTAGTTACCTGATAATGCGGATGTTACTTTCGGTGCTAACTCTGAGCCATCATCGGCAGACGAGGCCAATGATGCTGCCATCACTTGTTTCCTTTCTCTCTCAAGAAACACTTCTGCTGCTCTCGCGACAATTTTCTGTGGCACACCTGCCTGTAGCGCAATATCAAAGGCCATGCTCTCCTTGCATTTGCCATCCATCATCTTCCATGTTGCCTTTCGCACACCATCCACAACTTCTGTCACCATTGCTTTCTCTTTCACATATTTCCATTTTGCTGTCTGCGAGTCGAGCAACCCATGCAAATGAGTGGCAAAAATGCCCATGCAACCTATCATGTCCAGCTCTTCCAGCACTGCCATGGCCAGAGCTGTGCCATAGCTAACTTCAGTTCCTCTGCATAGCTCGTCCAAAAGGACAAGGCTTTTTGCCGTCGAATCACACACAATCCTCCTTGTATCCCCCATCTCTACCTGCACGCAGAAGGGACTCTTAAAATCAGAATCATTACAGTAGGCGGCAAATAGATGCCACCAATCTCAGAGCATGAATATAGATCAACAACATCAAAGCAAATGGAAAGTGGTGCTGGAGTTCAAATCCCTGTCAAACTCCATAACAGCTGCCTTCTTGCCTGAGCAACAAACTGCAGCAAATTTTCAGGAGAAAGAAAAGATGTGAAAGGATTTCACGCATCTCACTCCCAATACCAGCCCCGAAGTCCCAATATCCCATGTACCGTAGTCCTCACCGAATAGAGGGGTAGTTAGATCGAGTCCTGTACAGCCTGCAGGACCTGGCAGGTCTATCGGTCCAGTTGATCCAGTTTGTCATCAGTTCTCAGTCCCACGAAAGTCAGACAAACTACTGGATGCATCGGAGGTGAACCGTGGCCGGCAAAAAGTCTAGAACTGGGAACTGCTGCGAAGTATAGAAGTCCAGTGACAGCAAGGCGTCAACACAATTATCCATTCAACCTTGTTGCACAAGCGCTGTCACGGTCTTGAGCTACCAAGCGCCGAAAGAGGCTGAAACAGTCGTAGAGAATGGTCAACAGTGCCGAGCGCCATATTATTTGTGTGTGTTTTGGATTTTCACCACAACAGCCCTTATTCCACCCAGATGAGTAGATGCAAAATCGAAGCAGCTTTAGTCCTATTGTAGAAAACGAAAACACTTGAGTTGAGACAATCCAAGAATGAAACAATTTTACCTCTATAGCAAGTAACATGGACCACAATAGATCCATTTATATCCCCTTCTTAACTCTAGTTACTTTGGTTTTCTTTGGGGTACCCCTTTTATTTGTTCTAGCAGCTTCCCTTTTACTATGACTCTCACACGCAAGGCTGGCCACATTGATTGTGGTTGAGCGCCAGCTACTCACATCCCCGTGTGCCTTAATGGCACACTTGCACGTCATGAAAGGAGGCAGAGTAACGGGGGAGGTTTACTCCGGTTCATTTACTTCAGATCTTCCGTTTATATTTGTCTGTTCTCTTAGTGATGCTCATTCATTTACTAGTAGCACATAAGGGAAGGAAGGAAGGAAAAGGGTAGGGGGCGGGGTTCTATAGGGAGTGATGGGCACGGGAGGGGGAAAGGTTGGGGAGGGAGAAAGGGATTGGCAAGGGACAAAACAGAGATATGACAAACTTCACAGGGTTCTACATACTCACCACTGAGCAGACTACTCCAAAATGGCACAAGAGGCCCAGTCTGTCTGTGCATGGGTTCTGGAAGATTTTGAGTCGAGGAGCAGCCCTACAAACCGGACAGGACCGGTTCGGGTGTGGACTGTGGAAGCACCGCATGCAATTCTCACATTTGCAGCTGTTGCATCAAATGGCAGCGTGGGGAGGCATTGCCCTGTGACATCTGTGTAGAGGCATTGGCCCTGTCTAGAAATTGGACATGACATGTCAGGGTGTAGAGGCATTGTCCCTGTGACATCTGTCTACACCCTGCCATTCGATGCAGCAGCTGCAAATGTGAGAACTGCATGCGGTGCTTCCACAGTCCACACCCGAACCGGTCCTGTCTGGTTTGTAAGGCTGCTCCTCAACTCAAAATCTTTTGCAACCCATACACAGACAGACTGGGCCTCTAGGGCCATTCTAGAGTAGTCTGCTCAGCGGTGAGTATGTAGAACCCTGTGAAGTTTGTCATATCTCTGTTTTGTCCCTGTCCAGAAATGTCTGTGTAGAGGCATTGCCCCTGTCTAGAAATTGGACATGACATGTCAGGGTGCCGTACATGAGTGTGGAATTGGGTGTCATCACACCTATGAAGACAAAAACTCGCATGTGCTATCCCTTCATAATCCTCACGGGGTAAAGCAGGTGAACCACATGCTAGCCGAATCTCAGTTGGGTCATCACAGAGCCGCATTGACCAGGTTTCTCGGGTTTGGGCAGAAGGCGATGCTGTGGTGGATGGGTGTTGAAGGTGGAGGTTGAACAAATGAGAGGTGGTTGGCTATGGCGGACAGGTGAAGGAGGTGAAGGAGGTGAAGGTTGAAGAATATGGAAGGTGGTTGGGTATGGAGGATGGTTGATGGAGGTGAAGCTTGAAGAAGATGGAAGGTAGAGAGGTGGTTGGCTATGGCGGACAGGTGAAGGAGGTGAAGGTTGAAGAAGATGNGGACAGGTGAAGGAGGTGAAGGTTGAAGAAGATGGAAAGTGGTTGGGTATGGTGGATGGTTGATGGAGGTGAAGCTTGAAGAAGATGGAAGGTAGTTGGCTATGGTGGATGGGTGGTGGAGGTGGAGGTTGAAGAAGGTGGGAGGTGTTTGGCTATGGGAAGCAATCGTCGGCATGCTCTTAAACACCCACGTCGGGATCCCCTTCCCCGGTTGCCCCATCTTTAGCCTGCCTACCGGGTAGCTCGCTATTACCGCTGAGTGGTCCGAGGTGGTCATCGGACTTATCTGAACTTGCTCCAGTTCCTCGTTGAGGGCCATTGACGTCCATATCATTCAATCCTGCTTCTTCTCGACACTATGTTGCCCCAAAATGTAAAGGCCTTCTCTTGCGGGTATAGGGTCCGGTACGAGTTTGTGCATCCCAAGCCCGCATACTGTTAATCAGTGCCAGCGATTCTGGATCCTCATGCCTTGCGGCAGCAGAGTCCATTGCTGGCTCCCCTACGGAGTTAAAATCACCTGTAATGATAATTTTGTCCCCGTCTGGCACCAATGCCTGCAGCCTCTCCCACATCTTCCTTCGTGCACTAATCTCAGAGGGGCCATACACCGTGACCACCCCCCATTGCTCCTCTCCCCACTGTAGGACCACCCATGCCCACCGGTCCCTCGAATAATAATAAAGTCCCTAACTTCACCCTAAAATGAGGGGAGACCAGTGATGCATGCCCAGTTGGGCAATGTAGGTAGAGCCAACTCAGCCAAGGATCCGCACTGTGATGAAAAGGACTGGATGGACAATGAAATGTCAGTGGAACATCAACAAGCAATGTACACCCTGATACATACAAAATGGCACATAGTAATCAACAAGCAATGTACACCCTGATACATACAAAATGGCACATAGTAACGCACTGGAAGACTTTAAAATAAGTCCTGACCTGACTGGGACAGACATGACATCCCATCATACATCACACATGTGAGAAGAGGAGGGACCGCACACAAAGAAGAAAGGTCCCTCCTTGTACACGCACATGGGGAGGTACCACAGATGAGAGATGTGTAGCATATCAGAAAGTGAAATGCACTGAAAGCCTAGGATCTAGCAATGACTAAAGTGRCAACAACCAGCAGCATAGGTGCAACATTCACAAGGTGTCAATGTGCACGATGCAAAGAGTGAAACAGCGAGAAATCAACAACAACACATTCGTATCATTATCATCATAGGCTGGGAAGCAGCGCAGCGGAAGATTCAGTATCAAAAGGACATGTGGACGACAACATGAAAGGGAGAAACTTCGGAAGGGCAAGACATCAGAAAGATTGCCCTTCCGCTCACACACATGGGGGGAGATCCATAGACATGCGAGAGAGAAGGGGGAGGGACATAGTAACCAAGTCCAACCCAATTCTGATCTCCGAATGTCGTACACAGTTCGATCCCAATGTAGAGTGTAAGTCCGATCTGAATGTCGTGTCCAATAAGGCAGAAGGCCGTCTCCAAACAATGTCTGCAGTTACCTCTATCTCTACTCTGATAAAGAAGAAGAAGAAGAAGAAGAAGAAGAAGAAGAAGAAGAAGAAGAAGAAGAAGAACTTCGGAGGAGTAGGAGGAGAAGGGGAGAGGAGAAGAAGAAGAAGAAGAAGAAGAAGAAGACGAAGAAGAAGAAAGCTAGGCGCTTTCTGCACTTACCTGGCGATGGCTGAACTTGCAGGCACCGCGGAGCCAGCTATGGCGCTGGTGAAGGTAAGTCCTCTTCTCTCTCTCTCTCTCTCTCTCTCTCTCTCTCTCTCTCTCTCTCTCTCTCTCTAACTCCACTACCCTCCTCGGCGCTGGACTCCTCCAGCGCTGTGCCTCATGCCCGATGAGCAGCGCAGCTGCAGTCTCGAAATAGCGCAGCAGGGAGTCTCCAAAATAKCGCAGCAGCGAAGTTCCTGAACCAGCATAACGCTGGATTTCTCCTGGTACCTTCTGTCCAYGAACTGGGCAACGGCCCAGCTTAAGTAGCGCTGGGCCAGGACTGAAAACCCACGGCCTGCGTTCTGGACCGTGCAGATCGAAATTCCGATCCACGGTCCAGATCGCAGGCTTCGAAAACTGGTTCAGTCCTTGGCCTAAAACGGCCTGCCTGGGTCCCTACYGGACGTCCAGGCCYTGCCCAGGACTGGGCCTGTTCGGTACCTGGTCTGATTCAGGGCCTGTGCGAATGCATTGGGCCTGAGCGTCGGTCCAGGTCCGAACGGTCAAAAACCTGTCCRAAAACAAAAGAAAGGTCCAAACGTTTTTTAGAGGCTCAGCCTCTGGGCCTGAATCTGGCCCTGGTCCTAACATGTGTACCTGGCCACAAAACGGACAACAGTACAACCG